CAACATGTTTGCAAAGAAGTAGCAAACTAAATTATTGTTCAATTATATATATTTTCATATTGTATTTATTGTATTGATGAGAATTCTAAATAACAGTTAAATGGTTATGTATTATTAGAGACTTAGAGGAGCTCGTTTAAATTATACGCAAATTTGCACAGGTAGGTGTTAATCACCATATTAGATTGAATTCAACATTGAGGCAATAGAATAATATCAACGAGGAAAATGAATCTAATGATCGGGTTATAAGGAATTGACGCCTGTATAGCGCTGCACCATTCAGCGAACTAACTCGAGCATTGATAACAACACCGTGCATGTTTAATTTTATCTATTCAAATTTTGACAGGTACATGGTATGCACACTCGCAAAATATATGAATATATAAAGCTGTTTAATATTGAAAATACTAAAATCAATAAATTTATCTCTGCATGTGCAGTATGCTTGCTGAATTTGTTCTATTAAATATGCTGCATATAGTCGATAATAAGCATTGTGGCTAGACGCGTGCCGTAGTAGGCATACAAAAGTGTCATGTATATGAACACTTATATAGTCAGGTGTTTTAGGTTGAAACATTGTATTTGTGTTTGTTTTAGGAGGTGCTTTAAAATAACACGTGCCTAAATATTCTCAATTGACAAGAACAGTTCTTAGCACTGATAATGCTAGTGAAAGTCCAAAACTCATTTTAGATTATTGTATCGTAAAATTATCTATAACAAACACACAATTAAAATCTTGTTTTGTCATGCAAACCTCAGGGTTTACGTCGCTATTCTGAGGGGATGAGACTATCTCTGTGTCTCACTGATTCATATCCCATAATAGTATGCATTATGCGTCATATTTTTCCACGGTTCCCATCACGCAACCGATTCAACATAGTGGCGTCTTCTTGACCCTTAGTTTCCACATCGCATTTTATGCCACGTGTAAAACAATATTTCGGTAAGATTCGGTCATCTTTGGTTTTGTATTTCCGCTTTAACGATAAGGTCTTCTTACAGCAGCATTTAAATCAATGGCGAATAGATCCAAACATTTCAGATAACTTCTAGGTTACCACCCGTTACAGCTGTTTCTTCCGCATCAATCTTTAGGTTGCCTTTACTTTGCTTCAACTGTACAAATAAACAAACAATATTAAACGGTATTTCTTAATTCTATTTTATACATGCAAAGATGGTACTCAATATCATACAAATACGACTAACTGTCCGTTGTTCCATCCGAGTTTAATAAATAAAATATATAGGGTAACAAATATTTCAAATACGAAAAAAACTAAAATCACTGCGAACGTTCCTTCACTACTATTGTGGAATATGTTTGGAGCCATCACTGTATCTGGATGGATTAGTAACATGATTACTAATGTCATCCCATCCTATTTATATATTATATAATAATTCATCACTAAACTTTTTTACAAAAAACTATATACTGTTGTTTATCGTGTCGAATGCTTTAAATAGAGCTAAAATTATTCCTCAATACAAAATTCTGTAGAATGAAGTTAACATTACGATGAGGTTGATTAATGTCATGCACGTTAAATTATTTAGATAGAAACAGATATACAGATTTGTTAACCTGAACATTGTTTCATGACCAACGGTTTATGTATTCATAACCCTTTCCAAAATTACTGTTTGTAGGAGGTTTTTGTATGTATAAACTGACTACGGGCGAACGTCTGATATGTCTAAGCCGCGGTATTTACACATGACGCGCGCGCACACAAACCAAAACAGTTGGGCACTTGGGCCACTCAGACATTTCCGGTTAAATAAACAATTTAATGTATCCCGCATGAATGTACGACAAGCAAGCGTCATAAAAGTATCTTTATTTAACACTAACCGTGGTTATATGACGTCAGCTAATCCTGGCATGTTGTGCGAAATACAATTCAATTTAATCAGTACAAGTCACTGAATGTGTCGACTAAGGTCGCACCAACCGATATCGATGATTAGCTGCCAGCTGTAAGTATTTATATAGAGATAACCCAACCCAAATAATACAAGATACCTTGTTAAACAGAAATTATGTT